GCTAATTTGTGTGACCTTGTGTCTCCTTTCGAGTTTAAACTTAGAGCAAAATAATGCAATGCAAGTTAACCACGGTATGCGATATAATAAGCGTGGACACACATTACATTTTATGACAGCAATAAAAGAAAGGCTTATCAACCGTTTTTTATTTGCAACAAACAGCTGTTTGAATAATCTAATTGTGGGACTTTTTTAAAGTTTCAATTTGAATTTAATGATTTGCTAATCCTCATATCAGGTACATGAGAGATTCCATCGTTGCTAGGAATCAGATTTACTCAGAGCGACCAACGCATTGGAGGTAGATCATTTTATTTTTGTTAAGCACAATGTAATTGACGCACAACGCTTTTGCAGCAAGGTAAGGTACTACAAACGCCCCTAGTCCAGAACACTTTTATGTGCCACATGCTGCCATTCTGCTAAAACAGGGTTGATGATGGTCTTTGGAGGACCAAACAGTAGATGAGCAGTAAATCCAAAGTAATGGGCTGAATAATTGATGTAATTTGACAAACAAGAGTGCGAAGCTCATTAAAATTAAGCAACGGCCGACAGATCGATAGATATATAGGTGCTTCCTCCCTGAAGCAAAGTACGGGGAACGAATTCCCATTCTATGTCCATGTGGGGATCGCTTAGCAGGATACAGGTACCATAAGTTTCATAACTCTCTTTAGACTGTATTACGTGCAATGGGCAAGCTTTCAACCCAAGTAAATTGATCCTTACAAAGAAAGATCTTTGATCTAGCTATGTTGGATCATATGCACATCAGCAGATTGAATGCGTTAGGAGTGTTTCGATGCGGCAGCGCTCGAAACGGATGATATATGTGATGGTGTCGAAGCTTTAACATCTGTTGATGTACAGCAAGGTATGTTGTTTTCCCTCGCAGTTATGACAATGACTACACGGCAAGACCGAGTTTGATGTCCCTTTTTTGGGAAGTTAAAAAAAAAAGAGAAACAAATTTCCGAATCTACATGTAGATTCTATATGTAGATTCCATGACAAATTGTCTCACAAAAACTGCAGTCATTTTGGTCTCGCTTACAAACACACTTTTGCTGGGGTTAGTACTATGACTGGATTTGCCTACCTGATAACTGGTCACATGTTATAAGATGGCAGGTTGCACAGTTTCCAGTTTTTGACTTCTCCTTTGCAGTAATGCGAAGAACTCATCCGCTGTCGAGGCTTTGTCAATGTCAGTGGCCTCCTCACATATGGTCTTTGTCTTGGTATCCAATTTTCGAACTAAACCATACATTCAGAGATTGCTCTGGCACACTCGCATAAAGTTGACCTTATTAGAGAACTCCCGCAGTTTTGGAGCTGACTCCGAATCTACCCTCGTAAGTCCAAGAATCTCAATGACAACAATCTCATAGTGTGCCTGTACAACAAGACGTTTGGTACTAAATATTTCATTTTGAATATTCAGGCCCACACGATAAATTACACTAGAAAACTCTAACGATCGAACCGAATCCAACGCAGGTTCAAATAAACACGAGCGGAGATGCGGCGACTTTTCAATATACGACAGATCGATACGCTTATCGACAACCAACAAAAACATCGCGATATTAATTTTCTCCTATACCCTTGGCGCACGCGACCAGTATAGCTACTTTGCGCTTAAGAAAAGTTTAAAATACACTCTTACCACCACTGGAAACTTCACACTATAAAATCTATAAATCACTTCTTTTATAAACTTAATATAATAGTTTATTAATACTGTTGACTGTTGACAACAAAGAAATTGTACTACGATAATTATTTAACAAGTATTCATTTCATTTTTCAAAAATAATAAATATGACTGACAGACTGACTGATTGGCGATCAACGCACAGGCATACCGTAAAATATAGGAAGCTTAAGCTTCACTGTAGTTACCTTATGTGATTAAGGTGCACGTTAGCAAGGGGTTAGGAGAAATTCAACTCGCATGTGCAGTTTTAAGTTTTGTCCAATTTGCTTCAAACTTATTTTCAAATAATGAATACCTGTTTCAGGTATTAGGAAAATTTCACCCACAACAGTTTTTCTTTACCGTCCGATCGATTTCAAATTCATTTCAAGGATCTGTAAATGAGTATACTTTACACGGGCCAGGGGCAAGGGTGGGTTATACCCGCTATATACTGATATATACATATAGCCGATTGAAATTTTAAATTGAAAGAACAATATTCAACTACTTAAAACATCGCTGATTTTAGACCGCTTCTGCAACAGCCTATGGAGAACAAAGGACTACAAGCAAATAGCACTGAAAATCCCAATGTAAACAAGGCCCTGCCAATTTTCTAAGCAATGTTTAGAAAACTGAGAGCATCATTATAATGCAAATCAGTCGGGGTTACGATCTTTCAAAGCAAATGTACAAATTGCTTTATAGACAAAGTAAAGCTTATAAATTTAAATTTACACAGTGCATCGATGCAACTGGCCGGAAACATATAGTCGAACAATTTTATTATTCTAAATACTCGGAAGAAATGAAATCTACCGTAGATAAGTAAATACGCGAAAAATCGTATATCCGTCTGCATCAGAATACAACAGCCCACTCTTACTGATTCCCAACAAATCTTCACGAGCTTCCGGTAACAAAAGATGGCGATAAGTTAAAGATTATCGTCACGTTGATTAAAAATTCCAAGAATAGAAGATATTATTGATCAATTAAGACGGGCAAGAGATTTTACGTGTCTCAACCTATTGTCTAGATTCCACCAGATTGAATTTTCTGACGAGCAATGGCTAATGCGAATACTACACGGATAGGAAAATAGTGCCAAGTTTCCAACAAATGATGACAATAACATTTTCATGTCTTGAACCGTTTTAAGCTATATTTGGATAGCTTAATTGGTACTTAAGAAAACATTTAATTAAATATCAAACATGTCAACAAAGTACACAAAATAAATCGTGCGCCGGAGATAAAAAAAAATGTTCTTATAAAGCTAGAATCATAAAAGAAAATAATACGAGCAAAATGAGTAGAATTTTTCTGATTGGAAAGTGTCATATTTAAAACTAGACTTAGAGCAAAAGACCCTTCAAAATTATAACAAGTAAGAGGTTCTAGTCGGGAGCTCCCGACTATGGGATACCATGAACCCTCTTCTTCCAACATCAAATGCATATATATATTCTATTTTAGAAGCTATATGTTAAGTTTGGTGACTTTAGTTCTTATTATTTACCAAAATTGCCCAAAAAAACAGAATATCGATATCGATTCTTATCAATTGCTTGTAAATGGAGTAAGTTATCGATTATCGGAAACAAACTCGATATGCGCGGGAACTAGGAGCACCTTCATCTAATTTATAATTTCAAGTCTCTAGCTCTTATAGGTTCTGAGATCCTTGCGTTTATACATACGGACAGACGGACAGACAGACAGACGGACATGGCTAGATCGACTCGGCTATTGGTGCTGATCAAGAATATGTATACTTTATGGGGTCGGAGATGCTTCTTTCTGCCTGTTACATATATTTGGATTTTGCACAAATACAATATACCCTTATACCCATTTTTAATGGGTTCAGGGTATAAAATACGATTATGGACTTATATATATTCTTAAAACAGAGGAGCGACCCTTTATGCTTTGGCAAGATTATTCGAGTCGGAATGCACTGTTATGCGATGATACAATGATACAATGCATAGATACATACATATGTGTTTATGCATGTGCAGAGTGCGCCTTGCTCTTACTTATTGCTCATTGCTCACTTGTGTGCATCACTTTCTCCCTGCATAGATTTCCACAAAACACCGAGATCTACAAACATACATACGTCTGAGTTGTGTGGATGTACGCACAAGTAGATCACGGCGTTTTTCGCGAGCCAGAGATTTTTTCTTCAAGTGTGTGCCTCTTGTTCCCGTGCTCTATCATGTATTTCTTCGTCCAGTCAGGCATAATGAGAAGAGTTTGATCTAATTTTTTTAATACACAATTAATTGACCTAAATTAAATATTTAGATTTATATTGTGTTTACTGTAGGGACTAATTTTGCTTTAAATTTAAAAATATCTAAAAGGGTAATTCATCGTCGACTTATCAACGAGTTCTAAGAAAAGACCAAAAATTGAAAAAATTAAATTTTGCGACTTGCTGTTTGTGCACACGCACACTCTTTCGAGCAAGCAGTTGCGTGATAATATTAAAGGGTTTGGCCTGTTCATGGGCAAAATTGCTATTTTCCATGCTTGTTGTAAGGGTAAGGGTACCTGAACGTTGGCTTGTGTACATGAAAAAAAAAACAAAGACCGTGCCCGTCGCCCAAATTTACGCACCTATTGATGAAAATATCACTGTCTCACGACAAACCCTTGATCAGCTCATATGCACACATTTGTATGTCTGTATATGTGTGTGTATCGAGCTCGAAATTCAGAAATCACAAAAACTTCAAATCCTTTCAAATTTGCAAGGGACATATATATATATATATATATATACATATATTTATAAAATGTTATGACCAAAACATGCCGCGGACAAGACCGGCGAGTTTATTTTGAGTCAAACGTCGTAATCGGTGTGCAAAAGTTTTTTATTTTAACAAATTAAGTAATTTGAATAAATAAATAAGCATTTGAAACAGAAGTTTTTAAGTTTTGATTATTAGCCTGATGCTCAGACCGAAGTCAAGCATGTTCTTCACGACACCTTTGCAATATAGGAATGTTTTTCATAAAAGCTTCATAACTTTCCCCTCTTGGCAATCAAGCAGCCAAACCACTAGCTTAATGCTGACATTCGTACTTGAATACCAATCCTGCTCTAATATTCCATGAGTTCGAAGCGATAATCAAAGGAATTGAACCTATTATATGGAATGAGATATGAACTGAAAAATATTAACATCCAATTAATAGATGAATTTTAATATAATTATGTATAGAATAATGAGATATGCATTATCTAGTAAATAACCATTTGTTATTTTTGCAGTGACAAATTCACGAGATTTTGCCAATGGAAAAACCTGGAGCTTAATATACAAGTACGTAACTGTAATTTGAATTCCCCAGTCTCAAATAAATATATAATAAATATCAAATACTTCCAGTTATCTATGAATGACTTTAGCGTACACAGAATAATTGGTCGCGGAGGCTTTGGAGAAGTCTACGGTTGTCGAAAAGCCGATACTGGAAAAATGTACGCAATGAAATGTTTAGACAAAAAACGTATTAAAATGAAGCAGGGTGAAATGCTAGCATTAAATGAACGCAATATGTTACAAGCCGTTAGCACAGGAGTAAGTTAGTAAATGAAAATATTTGTTTTAGTAATATACCTTTGCATTTGCTTTAAACAGATTGATTGCCCTTTCATCGTGTGCATGACGTATGCGTTTCACACCCCAGATAAGCTTTGTTTTATATTAGATTTGATGAATGGTGGAGACTTGCATTACCACCTCTCACAACATGGAGTTTTCAGTGAAGATGAAATGAAATTTTATGCTGCCGAGGTAATCAGTGACTATATAAGGTATAAATAATGTAATACAAATACATTTTTCTATAGGTTATTTTGGGTTTGGAACATATGCATAAACGCTATATTGTCTATCGAGATTTAAAACCTGCAAATATTTTACTGGATGAAAATGGTCATATTCGAATATCTGATTTAGGCCTGGCATGTGATTACTCAAGAAAAAAACCTCATGCTTCAGTGGGCACGCACGGATATATGTCACCAGAAGTATTATCAAAGGGAACATCGTACGATTCGTGCGCGGATTGGTTTAGCTTTGGATGCATGCTTTACAAGCTTCTGAAGGGTCATTCCCCATTCCGCCAACATAAAACAAAAGATAAACATGAGATCGACAGAATGACATTAACTATGGTAAGCCATTTTAACTTATTGAACTTTAGTCAGAACATTATCCATTACTATGTGTAATTTTCAAAAAAGGTTTTTTCTATTACACATTTTTTACGCCAATTAATATTTCAATATTATAAATTCAAAAAAAAAACTACATAAGAAAAGTCACTCTGTTTACACAGGGTCCTGCACTCCAGACATTCTGTAGACACGTAAGAGTCAAGCTATGTAACGTGGCAAAGGCAATCATTTTTACATTAATAGCTCACGAAAGGCAAAAACCTTTCAGGAACCGAGTGAATAGCCTATAATGCTTGCTTTTATCATCATATTGCAGAAATGTGAAAGAAACAAGTAAGAGGTTCTGGTCGGGAGCTCCCGACTAGGGGATACCCTGAACTCTCTTCTTCCAACATATATAACGATCGGTCGAAAATAAAGTTGTTGTATGAAAAAACATTTTGTTTTTCAGGATATCTTGATCAAACTCGGCATTTATTAGTTTTACTTTACTCTTCATATATATATGCAAAATCCTATTAAGATCGGACCACTATATCATATAGTTGCCATAAGAACGATCGGTCGAAAATTAAGTTTTTGAATGAAAAAACATTTTGTTTATCAAGATATCTTCACCAAACTCGGCATTTATTAGTTTTATTATACTCCTTATATCTGCAAAATCCGGTTAATATCGGACCACTATATCATATAGGTGCCATAGGTAAAAATTAAGTTGTTGTATGAAAAACAGTTTGTTTATCAAGATATCTTGCCCAAACTCGGCATTAACTATTTTCCCTGTGCTTCTTAGATACGGGCAAAGCACTATAAGCATTATGAAAAGGTTGGGTCTGCAAGGGTATTAGATCTTCAGCGTGCCGAAGAATGTAGGTGCTCCTAGTGCCTGCGCAGATCGAGTTTGTTTCCGATAATCGATAACTTACTCCGTTTCCAAGCAATTGATAAAAATCGATATCGATATCCTTTTTTTTTTTTTGGGCAATTTTGGTAAATAATAAGATCTAGAGTCACCAAACTTGACATATAGCTTCTTAAATAGAATATATATATGCATTTGATGTTGAAAGAAGAGGGTTCAGGGTATTCCCTAGTCGGGAGCTCCCGACTAGAACCTCTTAATTGTTTTTAATATATTTGGTGTTGAAATAAGAGGGTGCAGGGTATTCCCTAGTCGGGAGCTCCCGACTAGAACCTCTTACTTGTTTCAATTACGAGAAGCAGGCAGACCTGATTAAGTCTGTGCTATTTTATCAATTTACAATAGTTTTACAAAGGCAAGCAAACCCAAATTGGATAATATTAAAATTATATAGGTGGCCGATGTGTACCAAATTCATGAAGCGAACGAAATTAACTAGCTCGCTGCGCTGCACCGAGACCTTAGCATAAGGTAATAATTATCTTAACAGAGAAGACCGCAAGATCAATATAAGCAAAGATAACAGATAGTTAGGCATATCAGTATATTCGCAGAGTAACTTTCGATTCTGTCTGTTGCGAGATCGCTGAAGTTGTTATGTTTGGGTAACCAGACAAATGACTAAAAATAGTATAATGATTTTGTGCAAGTGTGTGACATTCACAGGCAGAAGGAAACATCTCCGACCGCATAAGGTATATACATTCTTGATCAACATCAATAGTTCAGTCGATCTAGCCGTGTTCGTCTGTCAGTGCATTAGTTCGTCAGTACGTATATATGAACGCTTCGATCCAGAACGTAGGTCCTCCTCCCGCGCAGGAATAGAACAACACACCAATTTAAGCCACAATTCAAAATCTTTTTGAGAATATACGAATATTCTATAGCACAATAAGATCTACTACTGAAAATTTCATGAAGATCAGTAAAGAAACACAGAAAGAAGTTATTAAAGACAAGTTTGCATAAAATATTTTATTTAACATAGTTTTATTAACATAGTCAGTTTGAATTCTATGAAATGAAAAGCAAACAAGTATAAAACTATGTTTCTTCACCATTAAACCCTTGCATGTGTCAACTATTTTTCTTTACGAAATAAAATCAAAATAAAACAATTTTCAACCAACGCTAAAGATCGCAGACTTGTAAAACAAATGCCTGAAGACGGTTGTTGAAGTGCAGCTGAAATATATCAATGAAAATTTAAGCAAAATTGTGTTTCCTTTTTGTCTTGAATAAAATCTCCTGACCTCGAGCCAGCCAAACATATATTTATGTTATGGGAATGTCACCAGGTCAAATACTTTTATTCATTAAGATAAGGGATACCCTTAACCCTTTTCTACCAAAACCAACTGCAGCTCGCGCTACGAACTCGTTGCTTATCAGTAATAAAAATAAATTTAACAAAAGAAAACAAAAAATTGTTCCCTTGCCGCCTCTCCTCAACCATTAATGGTACAATGTTGGGTTCTAAACCCAACAATAAATTGCTAACGAAAAAAAAACGTTGATAGAATTTAATAAAGACGCTTGCGAATGTGTGTGTGTACATGCATACAAAAATTATTGCAATTTGCGCTAGCTGTCCCAAACACGTATTCTGCCAAACCACGTTTTCTTTCTTAACTTCTGTGTTTCCTAACCGATCTTGATGAAATTTTTAACATTTGATCCTGTTGTACTATAGAATATAGTGTATTCCCAAAAAGACAATTGCATTAAAGTTGAGACTTAAATTGTCTAAGTCTGCATGTAGTGGTGGTAGGGGGTGGTTTGATATATACATACATATATACTATTCTAAAACATACATGTCAAGTTTGGTGACTCTAGCTCTAAGAATCCAAGGGATTTGCTGAAAAAACGGGATGTCGATATCGAATTTGATCGATTACTTGGAAACGGGGTAAGTTATCGATTGTCGGAAAAAAAACTCGGCGGGCACTGGAGGACCTACGTTCCAAATTTAAAGTCTTTAGCTTTAATAGGTTTTAGGATCCTTGCGTTCATACATACAGATGGAAGGACAGACAGACTCAGTTGGGGTCAGAGAGGCTTCCTTCTGCCTGTTACATATATTTGCACAAATCAGAGTATAAAAATAATGCTGCTAAAGCCGGGTGTATAAATAATATAAACACACATTAAGGTAATACACGCACAAAAAATTCGCCCATTATTATTGTTGAGTTGCAAGCTCACTTAGGAATGGTGATTTCAGTTTTAATTTTTAATAAAAATCTAAAACAATATTGTCAAATGGTAAAACTGAAATTTTCAGTTTTCAATATATTAGATGTTGGCTCTTCTTAAGTTTGTGTTACTATCTGTATATACATATGTACAAAGTATAGCATAGGAGAAGGCAGTGATTTTTCTTCTGAAGCACTCGTATCAGTGAAAGATGATAGTACTCCCTTAAAAACATTCTGTGATTCAGAGCTTATAACCGCAACCTGCTTGGTACAGTGGACATATATAATTAATATGCATTCTTTATAGTGATTTTATTAATTACATTTATCAAACGTATTAGTTTAAAAAAAAAAACAGTTATTCTTATATACAAAACACTGACTGCCATATATTATAAAACCCTTAAGTACAAAAGCAGGTCTTACCTACTTCAATGAAACATTTACCCAAACTCTTGTCTTACTTGCTTTAGTTCAATATTTTTTGTAAACAAGTTGCTTCCGTTGCAATTTTAAGGCATCTTCATATATGTCTTTGAATGCATCAATATTTAGCTCTACCCAGCACACAACATCAAGTGATGGCATCCTTTATTGTGCTCTATGCGTAGCTCACCACACAAGGTTAATATTAGCAAAAGCAATGGATTCCAGTTTTTCCATACAACTCTGCCGCCTTTGCCATTGTCGGAAGAAAATATATTTGTTCTGTGGTTTAACAACAAGTTCAAACCTTGTCAGGAGTTCCCGACCTTGCTAAAATTTGTTTGCTATAGAATATTCTTATATTCTTACAAAGATAACAGGAATTAAGTTAGTCGAATGTCTAACATAATTATGCATACTAAAACATTACCGCCCAACAGGGGAATATAATTTGCACGAGAAAGGTCAGTGATTCGGGCATTTATTGCGGTTAGGAGTGTGAAAATTATTCCAACTAACCTGCAGAAGACCATTAAGCGAAAACTATATATTTGAGCTCCTTCACAAATTTATAAAAAACACGTAAGAGGTTCTAGTCGGGAGCTCCCGACTAGGGAATACCCTGAACCCTCTTATGCCAACACGAAATAAATTAAAAAAAAAAAGTTCCCTTGACAGGGTTTGAACACGCAACTTGCATTACTTGCTGTCGACTCTTCTCAACAACCACTCCAGCAAAAAAAATACTCGCGACAGACCGCACCACTCGCTATGCCTCTACTTAGCAGCCACACCAATAATTAAGTGCTTATGATAAAAAAAAGGAACTAAAATAGAATTACAGAAAAAAGTCGCAATTACCATGCTGTTAGAATGCGAAGCAGACGCGCATGAATGTGTGTGTACATGTATACAGAAATTCTTAAAGCTGCTGCCCCATTCAATTGCGCAGTTGCATATAACTTTGTTTTTTTCTTAACCGATCTTTTTGAAATTTTCTACAGTATATCTTATTGTACCATAGAATATTTGTGTATTCTGAAAAAGTCAATTGCATTTAAATTGTGGCTTAAATTGATTGGCATTAAAAGTTGGGTTATTAACCTTGATTTATAGCTCTTGGGTGGTAGCGGGGAGGTGGCGATAGGTATGAAATGAAAGATACTTGAAATATCTATAATATTCTAGAAGCTTCATATCATGTTTAGTGGCTCTAGCTCTTATTATTTACTCCATTTGCTCAAAAACAGGATGTCGATATCGATTTTTATCGATTGCTTGGAAATGGAGTAAGTTATCGATTATCGGAAACAAACTCGATCTACGCAGGCACTAGGAGCACCTACATCTAAATTTCAAGTCTCTAGCTCTTATATGTTCTGAGATCCCTGCGTTCATACATACGGACAGACGGACAGGCAGACAGACGGACAGGGCTAGATCGACTCGGTGCTGATCAAGAACATATATACTTTATGAGGTCGGAGATGCTTCCTTCTGCCTGTTACATACATTTGTATTTAGGACAAATACAATATACCCTTATACCCATTTTCAATGGGTTCAGGGTATAAGAAGTATGATATAATGTACCAGGAACGTATAAAAAGTTTTGCAATCAACTCCGACTGTCCTCATAGACCACCCTCCGCTTAATAAGTACTGACGTTTCTAGGTCTGCTTCTATTCTTTCATCAGAGTAATAGGAAGTAATTTGTTGCCCAATCTTTTGATTTTTTCCGAGATAATTTTTCTCATACATCAAACACTCTTTTTTGCCTATCTGGGTTGGATCTGGTGAATTGGTCTCTAATTTTTTTCTAATTTTTTAAACACCTAGGAATTTATATTAATGTACTGTGGAAACGTTTCACTTGTCCATATGATCTGCTAAGGGGTGCGGGACCGTTTACAATGTATATGTTGAGTTAGCTTTTTAAAAATGAATTGATCGTCTCTGAATTGAACAATACTTTATTCTCGCAGTAAAAATCTTGATTTTTTGAAAAAGGTTAATCAGTTGTAGAATGTATTATGTGGCAGTTCTTACTGCCAAACATGAGATTTCGCCTCAAATTGTAACATGTCTCTTCTAGAAACACTTGATGCTTGTCAGAAAGAAAAGAAAATGCAAGACATTGCTATTTTACCGGGATATGGCGTCTGCCACCAAGTTTTCTTCCCCTGGCGTATAATTCCTTCCACCTTTAAATTTTCCGTGAGCGGTGGATGATACAGATAATTCTGCAGTTTACCAATGGCTCGTACAATGGCCAAGAGCTCAATTTCGTTAGTAGCATATCGCTGTTCGTGATATCCCCTTGGGATAGCACTAATCCGGTTAAGTCGAAGTCGCGTTGTGTGTCGTCAAAATCAAATGGTATTTTTCTTGACATGTGTTTATGAACTTTGCCATTTTAGCCTTTCAATATGTTGGTAATACCCAGACTTCAAAATTAATGTGATGAAAAATTTGGCCTTTCCAAGATTTGTTAGAATCATTGGGATGCTTGGCATCGGGTAGCGGTCGGCGATAGTTTGCCCGTTTAATTTCCTTTTTTTCTTTATTTTGATTGCCATTGGAATCTAGGCCTTTCGTATCTCTTGCAGGGACAATAATACCATTATTTAATAATGATCTTGTTAAAGATATCTGCTATCGTTATCTGCTGTAGATGACGGATATAGCTTTGAATAAATCATTGGCTTCGGTACTTATTGTGGCAATGACTGAGTGTTAAGGGGCAACGCTTTGTTAGAGAACGAAAACACATTAATTCTCTTCAATATTATTTGATTGAATTAATGCGTAACGACTTGAGGGGCTACTATGTCATCGACAAGCGTAACGTTCACAGTCTCACAAGAGTGATGGTTCCGTGTTTTTAATAAGTTGGCGTTAATTAAGTAGGTTAGTGTAGCACCCGCCTGCGTTATCAGGTCAAAGCGTATGATTTGGGGCTAATTTTCCAATGATTTTTATTGAATGTATCTGTACGTATCTTCTAGAATATTATATACAGATTAAATTGTTTCACTTTATATCCATCGCCACCGTCACCTTATAGCTTTGAGTGAAGTAAATAAATCAATTAGAACTACCCAACAATTGAACCCACAATTTTAATGCTGTTGTGTTTCTGAGATAAACTGTAAAAAATTGCCTCCAGATGGGTTAAAAAACGCAGAAGCTATTAAAGTAAGTGTCTGGTTATTTACCTGTACACACAGACACACTAATAGAAATGTAGTTGCGATTTAATCGTATGCTGTGCTTTGTGAATTTGCTGTTCGGTTGGACAAAGGTATTTGCGAGTTTGACTTCGAAAGGGTGAACTTAATTTTTAAAATGCGTTTATATTATACCCTGAACCCATTAAAAATGGGTATAAGGGTATATTGTATTTGTGCGAAATGCAAATGTATGTAACAGGCAGAAGGAAGCATCTCCGATCCCATAAAGTATATATATTCTTGATCAGCATCAATAGCCGAGTCGATCTAGCCATGTCCGTCTGTCTGTCCGTCCGTTCGTCCGTCCGTGCGTCCGTCTGTCTGTCCGTCCGTCCGTCCGTATGTATGAACTCAAGGATCTCAGAACCTATAAGAGCTAGAGACTTGAAATCTTAGATGTAGGTGCTCCTAGTGCCCGCGCAGATCGAGTTTGTTTCCGATAATCGATAACTTACTCCGTTTCCAAGCAATCGATCAAAATAGATATCGATAACCTGTTTTTGGGATATTTTGGTAAATAATAAGAGGTAGAGTCACCAAACTCGAAATATAGCTTCTAAAATACAATAAATATATGCATTTGATGTTGGAAGAAGAGGGTTCAGGGTATCCCCTAGTCGGGAGCTCCCGAATAGAACCTCTTACTTGTTTTTCAAATTGAGATTTGTATCGAGTACCAACTCTAGATGACTCACAAAAACGATGCGCAAATCCATAAAGCTTAGGATTACACAATAAGATACTTCGGCCCAGTCCAAGTGAAAAGCATTGATATTGTGTACTGTACATTTTGCTGTCTATCCACTTGCTGGAGTTTTTTGCATCTAGATACATATTCTACAGTCTAATGAAACATGAATGCAATTAAAGAATGGAATAATACAGAAAAAGGCATTCAACACTGTTAGTAATAATAACATTATTAAAATTTTGTATACCCTTGCAGAGGGTATTATAATTTTGTCGTGATATGTGTAACGCATAGAAGGAGACATCTCCGACCCCATAAAGTATATATATTCTTGATCAGCATCAGCAGCCGAGTCGATATAACCATTTCCGTCTGTCCGTCTGACCGTCTGTCCGTCTGTCCGTTTCTATGCGAACTAGTCTCTCAGTTTTAAAGCTATCTTAATGAAATTTTGCAGAAGTCCCTCTTTCTGTTGCACGCAGCTCATATGTGAAAACCAGCTGGATCGGACCACTATATCATATAGCTGCCATAGGAACGATCGGTCGAAAATTAAGTTTTTGTATGAAAAAACATTTTGTTTATCAAGATATCTTGACCAAACTCGGCATTTGTTAGTTTTATTATACTCCTCATATATCTGCAAAATCCTATTAAGATCGGACCACTATATCATATAGCTGCCATAGGAACGATCGGTCAAAAATTAAGTTTTTGTATGAAAAACCATTTGGTTTATCAAGATATCTTGACCAAACTCGGCATTTATTAGTTTTACTTTACTCCTCACATATATATATCAAGATATCTTGCCCAAACTAGGCATTAACTATTTTCCCAGTGCTTCTTAGATACGGGTAAAGCACTATAAGCATTAAAAAAAGGTTGGGTCTGCAAGAGTATTAGATCTTCGGCGTGCCGAAGATAGCCTTTCTTTCTCGTTAAATTTCAAAACTTTTTTAATTGACTTATTTTACCTTTTTCTTCAACAGAATGTTGAACTTCCAGATTCATTTTCAGTGGAATTAAGGAATTTATTGGATATGCTTCTTCAAAGAGATGTACCTAAGCGTCTCGGTTGTATGGGGAATGGGTAAGATAAAAGGTCAAATAAAATGTTTTATTTTTAATTTAATTCCAATTTAATTTTAAGTGCTGACGAAGTCAAAATGCATAATTTTTTTTCTGGAATTGATTGGCACCAGGTTTATATTCAAAAATACACTCCGCCATTAGTGCCACCTCGAGGCGAAGTGAATGCGGCTGATGCCTTTGATATCGGCTCTTTTGACGAGGAAGATACGAAAGGCATTAAGCTGAATGACAATGATCAGGATCTCTATAAGCACTTCTCATTAACGATTTCGGAAAGGTGAGCCAAAAAATAGAATGAATGCTAATCTTAAAGTTTTAAAGGGAACAGTAATTAACTTAAGGACGCATAACTGAAAAAGTAAACAGTTTCTAAGAATTGATGGTTTAATTAATAGGGATAAACGTTGTTGACGACAAACGTTGTTGACCCTCTCGACCTTAAAGTACCTTCAAAATACCACCAATGCCAAAGGCGCCAAGACCGCCCCTCTGATGCGGAAGCGTTCATAAGCACAACGTTCATAAAGACGAATCTTGCCGTATTTGCCTTCAACACTCGGTTGCACATAAACGAACTTGCCGACCAATAACGAATGTGGTAGCGGTTTACCCAGGCCTCTTGACTAAAACACGAGAATTTTGCGAACCACCTCGATAGTGGTGCCTGGGCCACCTATTAGGAGATGCCCAGGGATGAGCCGATGAGTCGCCAAAAAAAAAAAAACAATCAATAAGTTAACCGCAACTTCAAACTTCTGTGTGTTCATAAATCATTGTACATTGAAAGCTCAATCGTGTGTTTAGATTATTTTAACGAATGTTTTTATAACGTGACTAAAATCAGAATACCGATTTAAGGGCCCATAGTCTTCTGAATTAAGCAGAAAAAGCGAACCAGATTGAAATGATTAGCTCGAATTGAATCCGCAAGAAAAAACGTCTGCTGGCTTGACTTTCATAGTGTCTATATGGGATATTAGCCTCGCGGTGAAGCACCAAAACTGATAAGTAAGAAATATTTTTTTTCGGGATTTCTTTAGAAGAAGACAATTAGACCATTGGGCAATGGCGTAACCGAATAAAATACGAATTCAACAGTCATTCAGTAAAATCTGTATGTAATATCCCTATGCAACAAAGTCAAGCCTAGTTATTTATTGTCTAAGGTGATGCTGACCTTTGGGCAATGGCGTAACCGAATAAAATAAGAATTCAAGAGTCATTCAGTAAAATCTGTATGTAATATTCCTATGCAACAAAGTCAAGCCTAGTTATTTATTGTCTAAGCTGATGCTGATAGACCCGGTGGTTTTTGGAAACCAGAAACTTCGCTTTGCATCTGAAAAATTTTATTAATGGTTAAGATTAAGTCATTCTAAATTACTTCGGCGGCTATTGGACACTATGTGTGTACTGATCCATGCTGAAAACCCTCATAACTATATGTAACAGCTTCAACCCCTAGAAAGGTACGGCATGAAACGTCAAATACTACTGACGCGTGAATTTTAGCTCTGGGTTGTGGGCTTGTGTCCACAATGCTTCCTACTGGCATCTGATTCTTGCAAACTTACTTGTCCATAATAGTCAACACGACAATGATTTGTTTAAGGATGGATAATTTTGCCACTTCTGTATTTTGCACGACGGACAACATTATAAAAAAATTTCAACGCCTGGAATATCTGGAAGAATGCGTTTTCTAACTTAAGATTTTTCGGGTGACTGGACTCGATGCTGTTCACCGTTTGCTCAGCGTGTTAACCAGACTTCTAAGAATCTGAAAATCATACTGCAACAAAATTTTACGTAAGATTTTAAAATGTGCATATTTTTCAAGCTCATACACATTTCCCTCCTGATCTGTAGTCTCTAAGAGAGTTCCTCGGATACAAAATAAACTCGTGAACTTGAATTAAGTAATGCTCAACCGCCACAATTGCACTGGCAAGCATTACATCATTTGAAACTGCCGCATGAATAGCATTTTAAGGGGAAGGCTTATGCTTGAGTAAGCGTTTAAAAGTTCTCAAATTCGAATATTTTCTGAACTGTATGGGCTGCTATCGGCGATTTTTTTAACTGTGAATTGCAAAAAACTCAAGAATCGGGCTCGTTATCTGAAAAAAAAGAAATAAATTGACAACTGACTGTCCCAATAGTTAGGTAAATTCGAAACATTATTGTGATGTTTGTGACGTCGCCAATGGATAACAGAGATTCGAAAAAAAATCAATGCACCAATATAATAAACCCTCCTTAGACTGGCCAGTGCCTTCGGATCATTTTATTCTGTAATTTGAAATGATCTCAGTGTGCCTAAATTACCACCACTTAAAGATGGCACCAAATGACTTAACTTCTTGATATCGTGAAATTAAATAATCTGTATAAACAATCGATTTAAAGCCGCTTATAAAATGTTTAAATTTGCATTTCTCGCTTAAGAAAGAAACATACATAGTTGGCTGTCGGCATTCTGTAGAACACATTAGTGGTGTTAGTTTTGAATAATAAAGAAGAAGTAATAGCTATTATGCCTATCTCCTCGATTTTGTAATTTAAAGGCAATTTTTATCAATTGAGTTCCAAGAGTCGTTCTAACTCAACTGGTTCCAGCGACAATTTACGAACTGCTGCCATTTCTACAGAGAATCGTGGACTCTTCGAAAAGGGTGAAACACGTCTCAAATGATTCTTCATGAAGATCCTTGAAAATGAATTTGAACGCGAAACGGCACCCACTAAATCATTGAACGCCATTTCCACCGAGGAAGAATACATTTTTGGAAAATTGTGAAACTGTGAGCTTGAGGCCGATCGGATGGTAAACAAACAAGATTCAAACCAACTGTTTTTCGCGACTTTTCCAGACTTCCGGGTGGAATTTCCCGACACCCCATCTTAACGTGGACCTTCTTCACATATGGTAACTACAGTGAAAATTTTAGGTTCCCAGCTCTTACGGTATGGGTTTGCGTTGATTATCAATCAGTCATTCATTCATTCAGTCAGGAAATAGAAACCCTTTTTTTTAATAGAGATAAATAAATATTTTGTCTCAGACTTACATCAACATCCCAGCAGAAAGAAAGGTCGCTAAGCTGTGAAAAAAAAGCTTTTGCTGATGATTGAAAGCTGATTCTTAAAACGTCAACAATCATATGCAAGCACAAGCTTGGCTAAGAAGCTAATGCGAATAACTAATTGAATATTTGTTTTTATTATTGCGTTAGCCTTATTTTCATTTTTTTTATACTGTGAACCCATTAAAAATGGGCAAAGAGGCTCTAATGTGTTTGTGTGTAACAGTCAGCAGAAAACCCGACCCCATGAAGTATATATATTTTCGATCAACATCAGCTCAGTCGGTCTAGCCATGTCCGTCTGTCTGTCCATATGTATGAACGCAACGATCCCAAAACCTATAGGCTCTTCTAATGCCCGTGCAGTACGAGCTTGTTTCCAAATAATCTATCTAAATCGATATCGAAATCGTGTTTATTGAGAAAATCTCTTAGGTTTTTAGTGCTAGAGGCACCAAAAATGGCATGTAGCTTCCAGAGTAGTATATAAACTATAAATTAGTATCTTAGCCGGGGTAATAAGCTCAGTCTTACCAAGTCCACTCTACCAGAAATTTGTTGTCTGCCCAGAAGTAGGGGGGTTAGAGAAATGAAGTGATATCTCCGCCACAGAGGGATTAATAATTTTGGAAAAGGGAGGGAACCTGAACAGGGTTTCGGGAAATTTGTTGACCATCCGATCGGCGTTAAACTCAATTTCAAAGATCTTTGTTCAAATTCATTTGAGGGGTGTTTCACAACTTTCCAAAAATATATTTCGCTTCGGTGGAAATGGGGGTCAATGATTTGGTGGGTGACGTATAAAAAATCATTTGAGACGTGTTTCTCATTTTTCGCAGAACAAAGCATCCTCGCTAATAAGTGCGATTCTACGATTTTTTGGTGGAATTTTAAGTTTTGTCCGATAAGCTTCAAACTTATTTTTAGAGCTCTAAAAAAGAACTTAATAAATACGTATTTTAGCGATTCGGGAAATTCCACCCACAGCTGTGGTTGATTAGCGAAAAGCGTTTGTATGAAGGTTTTTTGCTAACCATCCGATCGGCCTCAAACTCATTTTCAAAGGTGTTTGTTAAAATTCATTTGGGGGGGGTTTCATACTTTTCGAAAAATCCATTCCTCCTTGGTGGAAAGGGAGTCAAAAATTTGGTGGATGCCCTTTCGTCTTCAAACTCATTTCCATGGATCTACATGAAAAACCATTGTAGACGTATATGACATTTTTTGCAAAATCTAATCTTCTTCGGTGGAAAGTGCATTTTAAAGATTTTTTTGTGAATTTTAAGTTGTGTCCGATTTGCATCAAACTTATTTTCAAAGCTCTACATAAGAATATAATGAAAACGTGTTTCAGCGATTCGGGAAATTCCACTCGCCACAGTGGTAAAGTTTATTTACCGCCCGCTTAGTTTCCAAATCATTTGCAAAGCCTTTTGAGAACATTGATTTTATTACTTACGTGCCACGGGCAAGGCCAGCTATACCCGCTAGTTAATAATATAATAACTTCATTGCCTTCACATCTGAACAGCGCTAAAAGTCAATAGTTTGATTGTGCGTTCGGCATTCACGTATGTTAGGCGGTATGGCTTTTGCCCCTGTAATTGTGACCCCGCGTCACGACCCGGGAGGGGCCGTCAAACTTTGGCGCTAACTTTGTCGCAAATCCGTCGTCAGCTTTTGACAGCTGATGGCGTAGCCACACCTGCTCGATCATTTTGTGCCGACATTTTCTTCCACGCAAATTGTAGTGCCTTCCTAGGACCTGGGAAGCACGCTGCAGGTTGTGACGAACGATATTAAACACCTCTCTCGAACGCCCGGCCTATTCCCCTGGCGTTTGCTGAACAGTGGCGGGCCCGGGCGTATCCTCGTCGTATAAGGCAGCGTGGAGACGAGGCTCGCGACCTTGCACCAAGAAGGCGGGCGAAAATCTGGTCGGCCACGCTAGTGTTCACCGCCAACGCTATTTCGGGTAGCATCTCGTCCCACGGGCTCTGATGTTCTTCGATGAACTGGGCGATCATCGTCTTGACCGGGTTTTTTTAGGATAATACGGCGCCGTCTATTGCACCTCTACGCTGATAGACTTCAGGAAAGCCTTGAATATCCGGCTTTTGAACTGCACTCCGTTATCGCATACAAACTGTCGGAGGACTCCGAAGCGACAGAGTATCTGTTCTCGTAATGC